AGTGTGGCAAAGCCTTTAGTGTGCATTCAAGCCTAACTACGCATCAGGTGATCCATACTGGAGCAAAACCTTACAAATGTAATGAGTGTGGCAAATCCTTCAATGTGCGCCCAAACCTTGCTAGACATCAGATAATCCATACTGGGAAAAAACCTTTCAAATGTAATGATTGTGGCAAATCCTTTAGTGTGCGCCCAAATCTCATTAGGCACCAAATGATTCATACTAGAGAGAAACCTTACAAAAGTGATAAATATGACAAGGTCTCCATTCAAAGTTCAAATCTTGCAAGTCATCAAAGAATTTATACTGGGGAGAAATCTCACAAATGTAATGACTGTGGCAAGATCTTCAGTCATAATTCACTCCTTGCACAACATCAGAGAATTCATTCCTGAGAGAATCCTTACAGATGCAAAGAGTGTAGCAAACCATCATGAGTTCAAGCATTAATTGTCATCAAAGAGCCCATACTAGAGTGAAATTATATAAATGGAATATACAGGGCAGGGGCTTTACGTAGGCCTCAAAACTCACTAGACATCAAAATATACATGTGTGATAAAAACATATGTAACGTGCATGCCTAAGCCAATACCCAAGTATCAAAACTGTATAGCATCTTTCATGGTGGTGTCTAAGAAATAATAGGATGGAAGGGCTCACTTCATTAGATAAGGATCATTTCTATCCAAGTTCTTTAAAGAAGGACTCTGCCTTTGACAATTAATTAGAGAGTATGGAGTAAGGGCAGAGAATTAACGTAACACTGTGATGTTGGTTATCATACTGATTGGGTTTGGGGTGCTTTTCCTTCAACAGGAGGGTGCCATGAGTTACAGGAAAGAAATGTTCTACCAATCGACCATGAAATAAGCAAGTCAAGACCATAGGACACTGGGATTTTTTTTTATGGGCACGGAATAGTACGTATTAGTGACTAATTATGTGGTAGAAATATTGCAGGGGAAATGGTGGCCACCTTCTTCATTGAATGGCAACAGCTGTTGTATGACAAAGATTATTGAACTACAATAGGACTTTATTGAGTAGGATTCACATATAACTGCTGGCATTACATTTTGCGGCTGTATCATACATCTTGTGATAATAAAATTTTATCTTTTTTCATAACTACGAATGAATCACGTTTTTTCTACCAACATAGTTTCATCCCATTTCAGTAGGGTACTTCATAACAGACAAGAACAATGCCCCATTAGGCTCTTTATACTGAAAGGTGTAAAATAGTTTTTTTCTTGGAGGAATCAAACAACATACAATGTTGGGAATATATACTCATAGAATGCACTTGAGTTATTCTCTCTACACTCTGCCCTGGGATAATGAAAATCTAATAGAAGTGCAATTTCAGACTCTTATACCCTAAAACCTGCATTGCTGTTCATGAACGTGCACTATTATTAACATTATATTTACATAGCCTCTTTCTTGTGTGCCCAGGGCATGAACCTTGATTTACATGAAGAGAAAATAAAAACATAGTAACAATATGAAAAAAATTAGGAAATTAAAATGCGAGGAATAAGGATAAAAAACATGTTTTGTCTTTGCAGTGCTCAGTGACATAATTTAAAAATATTAACGTTCATGAATTTCCTCTTAAGAATAAATAACACATAATGGAAATTTTGTTTTGGTAGATGAATTTCATGTATTCACCCTCAAAACACTTGGGAAGTTGAACTTTTGACCACTCCCCTGGAACTTGATTGAAGTCCACCTAAAAGTTCAGTTCGGATCTCGAGAATGATGATGTCCTACACGGAAGTGTTATGAGAATGTTTATTGCATAATGAGGCCTCGCAGGGAAAGCTGCAGAGACCTCCCCTGCTGGTCCAAAAACGTTAACAATCGTTAAAGGGTGGGGTTGGGGCTCAGTACGGGCGTTTGTCGCAGGCCGGCGTGCGTGCGTGCCCGCGTACCTACGTACGTGCCTTCGTATGATACGCGCAATAATTAACGACCTCTAACGTCTGCCACGGTCGAGGTCTCCCCTGAGGAAGTGGCAGCCACTTCTCAGTCCCGACACAGGTAGGGCGTCGTTTCCTCGCCTGGGCGTGGGAGCCCGTCGTCCTGGCTCTGGTGAGAATTTGACAAAACTGGATTTCTCTTTTACAACAGTAAATATCTTAGTTGTTCCACCTCTGATAGATTATGTACATTCTCCCTTTTTGTGGCAAAGGGCTTAATATATGTTCAATAGGTGAAAGTACTTTTAAATCAATTTTAAAATCTTTAATAGTTTATATATGTTTTATGGTGATATTACAAGGAGGCATGTCAAAATCTTCCCGTGATTGATGAAGTATCTTTTTTTTATTTCTTGTGAATATGTCCATTTTGCTCCCTTGAACATTTTACAAGCATCGAAAAGCTCCACATAAAATAAATTCATAATTTTACCTATAATTAGCTTAGCTTGTAGTGAGTTCAATGAAAAGCTCCACAATAAACTCATTTTTTTTTGCTTCCGATTATGGAAGTTCATGCCGATACTTCTGTTTCAGCAACATTACTAGTTAGCAAATACTACGTTTTGTGAGATCCCAAAATCTATCCCAGATACCACATGTTTTTAAAATCTGAGGACATCATGCTCTTTTAGACTGAAAATATCTTAAACATACTAACTTTTCTATCTAAACATAATCATATTTCAATCAGTTACCACTTCTGGGTGGATGAAATCTTCCACATGTAGG